AACTTGCACGGCCGTGCGAAAATTTTTCCTAGCCGTGCAAGCTCTCGGTAAAAATCGCACTGCCAAAAGTGCATGTTGCACGGCCGTGTGACTCAGCCTGGCCTGGCCGTGTGGCCTACACGTGCACAAAATTGTCTCGCAAGGCCGTGTGAAATTTTCCCCCTGGCCGTGCGAGCTCTCGGCAAAATCCGCACGGCCAAATGTGCACATTGCACGGCCGTGCGGATTCCCTCGGCCAGGCCGTGTCGGCCAGCACGGGCAAAAGCACCCCCTGCACGGCCGTGCCAGCCTGCCCGTGCGGCCGAGGCACGGCCTATATATTCGGCCAGCACGGCCAGTCTGGTCAGAATTTCCAATTTCCTCGCTGGAATCCTCTGCCCTCGCCGGAAAACCGCGACAAAACCCTCCTTTTCGATTTTTTCCGGCCACTTTGGGTCATATTTTCACCAAATCAATACCAAACCCACCCTTTCTACACCCAAAGCGGCCTATCCCTCGATTTTGAGTGAGTTTGGACGAAGTTTTTGTCGCCGGAGGCGATTTCCGGCGAGGCTCCGACGAGCACGTCCGGCCAGTTTTTCGGCGTTTCGTCGCTTCCATCGCCGTCCCCTCATCATCCCCTACACCTCTACTTGAGTCTCCAGGTTTGATTTTGCCCTTCACCTTGTTAATTGTGGAGAATTGAGTGTGTAGGGTGTATGTTTAGAGAACCTTATTGAATCTTGAGATTTTTGTGAAATTGATTGATGGGAATGCATGGAATGTGTTTGAATTGTGTTGGGCAAAGTCCCCCTTGCTTGTTTGAGCCCTTGTGTGCAAGAATTTTGCCAATTTCATGCTCAACTTAATAGTGCACACAAGGTGTTCGATGAAATGCCTGTTTTTCATGCCATGTTGTGGCCACCGGTTGGGGCCCTTAATGATGTAGTTTGAGGGTGTATTTTCTATGGATGTGAACCTTAAGTTGCCTATTTCCTCGTGAATGTGCACCCCCACCCAGATTATGCTTGATTTATCGAGTTTTTGACCCCCGAACTATGGATGAAACCATGGTTAGGCTGTTTTCTGTTCTTAAGTGTGGGGGTGTGTTTGACCTTTTCTTTGGCTCTTTTGGTTCCACTTTGGGTTGTTCTTTTGCAGGGCAATGGCGCAACCTGATCTCAAGCACCCGTTCATCCGGGATCTACGGAGGGGCCCCACCGCAGACCGCTTCAAGGAGGTCCTGGAAACCCCGTTTGGGTCACACCATTGCTGGTCCAAACGGGAGTTTCGGCGATTGCACTGCTACGAGCAACTCTCCGCCGCCGTCGCCAACACCGCATGGCGCCGTCTGCTCATCCTCTGCGAGAAGGTCTACTACGAGCCCGTGTGGGAGTTCTACACGACCTTCAAGCACAATTCCACGACCGATTGGCAGGACGGTACAGCCGTCCAATTCAGGCTGGGCGGTGTCCCCCGGTCCATGAGCTACCACGAGCTGGCCGAGGCTCTTGACCTCGACCTCGACGACCGTCGGCACTACATCACCGAGCTCAATGATCCGCCGGAGGTGGACTTCGGGAGGCAGTACACCCGCCTGGCTCGGCCAGGCCAGACGCGTCCCTTCCGGGCCGGGAGGACGAAGGCATCTACCCTGCTGCTCGACAACCGCCTTCTCCACCACCTGCTGGCGAAGTCTTACACCCCCGCAGCAGACAGTGCCAGCGCCATTACGAAGAGGGCCCTGTACTTCATCCATTCGATCCGCCAGCACAACCATCCCCTCCACCTGGGTTCGGTGGTGGCCAAGACCTTCGAGAAGACTTCTACAGAACTGAAGAGCCTCCACTGCGGCCCCCTCATCACCCGCCTGGCCACCTACTTTGGCCTTTCACTGCAGGGGTGCACCGAGGAGGGGGACACCCTCATCTTTGGCAGGAAGATGATCAGAAAGATGCAGCTGCTGCGAGAGAGGAACGGTGTTCTATGGGTCGATGGGTTTCCGGAACCTCGGATCCCCGCGGAGCCCGAGCCAGAGGACCAGCCAGAGGGCCAGGAGGAGGAGGCAGGTGAGGATATTCACCCAGAGGATGTGGATGCTGCTGCTGATGATCCACCACAGACTGACTTCCATGCCGGAGGTAGCAGCTCTGCTTTCCTGGGCTAGGATTACTTCTCTTCCCAGTTCGAGCAGCTGCGGATCCAGAACCAGCTGATCCTCGACCAGCAGATGCAGTTCCATCAGCAGTACGCGGCCGACCAGGCCGAGCTCCGGAACAGGATGGCTGCTTATGACGAGCGCCTGGACATGATCCAGACTCAGCAGGGCGTGACTCTCGCACACATCGAGCGGGAGAAGCGCCATTCACGGCGCATGCAGGAGGTTCAGCAGCACCTGCTCCAGCTGATCCCGGGCGAGCAGCCCGTCTGGAGGACTCCCTCGGATGACTCCCCACTTCCACATGCCCCAGCAGACGGTGATGATGGTGCTGCTGGCGCTGCTGATGATGACGCGTTTATGAACGACATCGACCTCGACGATCTTGGCGACGAGTAGGCTGTACTCGTTGCCTGTCTCAGTGTGTTTCATTTTTCATTTTTAGACTTTTATGTGTTTGCTCCATGTGTGCGGAGCTTGAACTCAGTGTCGTTTGTTTTTGTTTTTGGTTTTCCTTTGTGGTTTGTTTCTGATGTAGCCGTCTGGGCTAACACTTATCCCTAACGCACAGTGTGCTAGTGTGTTTCTGGTGTTCGATTTGTGCAGCATTGTCCACTCTCCCGTTTGTTTCTCGCTGACTGGTCCACTTCCAGTCCCCCTGCAGTGTTTCAATCCGGTAACATCGTTCCCTTTATCTTTCCCTCTACTCCATTGAGGGCAATGTCGTGCTTAAGTGTGGGGGGCGGGGTGCTTTGTATCGGTTGGAATAGATATTTGTGTGCTAGGTGCCTAGTCCGCTGTCCAAATCTTACGATTTGAGGGCTCCAAGTACTGCTGTTTGATCATATTGGCACTGTGTTTTGATTGATGAATTGAACGGTTTTCGGATTAATGCATGACAACTTGTTTGCGACTAGGACGACCTATAATGAGGACTGAGATGTGCAGTAGAACGATGTAGGGGTTCAGTTTTTCAACTGTTTGCTTACCAACTGTGACTTGATCTGATCACTTGTTCTTGACAGTCGTTTATGCATCTAGTTCAGGGTATCAGAATGTGAGATAGAGCATATAGGTAGCCATGTGAGATTTGAGCCTGCTCGTTTCTTTCTTGTGCGATAGATCCCTCTTCCATGATGTGTAGCATTCACGTTGTCACTAACTAAGATGATGGGGGCATAGGATTAGCCCACGACCAAAATTGACTGTCCTGATGTGTCATATCCCCTAGTCAGCCCCTTTGAGCCGTGTGTTATCCTTTCTTTTGGTCTCTAACGAAAAAATCACCCTTGTTGCATCTTTTAGAAGGTTCCACAGAGTGGTTTTTACATATTCTCTGCTGTTTCTGCTAAAGTCTATGTGAGTGTTGGAGGTAGTGCTTAAAAGTTGGGCAGGTGTTTGAAATATGTGCAGAAGTGGTGGCTCTCTTAAGAAATGAAAAGAAAAATGAAAGAAAAACAAAGAAAAATTGAAAGCAAAAGAGAGCCACTACCAAAAATATGAGTAATGCCCATTAAGTAGTGTTTCTTAGCAGTCTGGCTTGGAAATGCTGACATTTTATACCTCCTTCGCTTTTGTGCTCTTGAGATATTGAGTAATGCAGAATAGCAAAAAGAAAATACTGGTTTGTTTGACTGTGATTGTGTGTTTGGAAATGTGGAACCTTTTGCTATGAATACTTCCACCACTTAAAAGGCCTTTTCCCCATGTCCAAGACCCTAGCCAGCCATTTGAACCTGTGTCTAAGACCTCTTGATTAGTTAGTGGTGACACCCCATATGTGAACTCTAGCATTTAGATGCTGCCATCATGGTGAAGAGATGATAGGGATTGAGAGAAATAGCATGCGCATTTTTCTCTTGTACCCCGGTGAGGACCTAGATTGCTTGGTCTCTGTTCTGATGTCTTGAGTTGGATGCATGAGTTGACTGTTTTGAGTAAGTGGTTGAGTCAAGTCTAGGTTGGCTGGTGAACAGAAGGGAGACTCTTCCTTTACTCGATTTGCTGCACTCGAATGTCCTTTGTGGTGGTTGTCCAGGTTGCTATTGAGGTTGTTCATGTGTTGATGTTTGAAAACCAGTACGATTCAAGTGTTCTGTGCCTTTATGACTTGTCCCCAATGTTGGTTGATTGAATATGTAAGCTTACCTGGTGTCTGACTTGGTTTGCTTGGGGACAAGCAAAAGGTTAAGTGTGGGGGAGTTTGATAGACCGTCATTTACACATGTTTTCACCCCCGTTCTTACACCGTTTGAGGTGTTGATTCTCGTGTTTTAGGCTGATTTCACGCTAGGTTGTGCTTGTTTGTGATATTTCAGGTCCTAGTACGTGAATGGAGGCTTGGGAGCGAGTCTGGGGTCGATTGGACGAAGATCGGACGCGTGGCGCATATAACGCAATCCACGTAAAAAATCTCACGACAACACAATTCTACTTCCAAGGCAAAGACAAATCCTCCTTTCCATGTAAAATAATGGCCAAAGGAATTAAAAAACATGCGTATGTCCACTCATGAATTTTTTTCTCTTAAGAAAACAGAAATGAATAAGATACAGTAATTATAAAATTCTCCACAATTGTGCGTAACTTGGACCTATTAAATTAAATACCAGAATTAACCTCGAGTCAATATATATATTTGTGTGATGGTAGCAATAGCAAATTATTACACTAATCAAAACCAAAGCACCTAAATTTTATCGCATGAATAGACAGTTTGGCCGAGTGGTCTAAGGCGCCAGATTTAGGCTCTGGTCCGAAAGGGCGTGGGTTCAAATCCCACAGCTGTCATTTTCTTTTTTTTTTAAATTTCATCTCTTGAAAAAAAAAAAAAAAAAAAAAAAAGAGTGCCAGAGAGAGACAGAGTGCAGGGAATGAATGCCTGGACATGGTTCTTGTAGTATCCTTTGACGACGGCATTGGTGTAGAAATCGTCGTCCTCAGAAACATTCTGGCCGCGCTCCTTTGCCCACTCTACGTACTGCGGCCGACCCCCTAGCTCCTTGTAGTTATTAACCAGCCCCAGTATGACGTAAATCCCGTATCGGCCAGCCTCCGATATCACAAAATCCAATCCCTGATTACCACAAGAAAAATCAAAATCTAATTACCAAATAATAATAATAATAAAAAGATTTAATTAGTCAAGTTAATTACGAACTCTGAACACGCTCTCGTCATAGACGCCGGGTGAAATTTGGAGAGGCTTATAGCTGCCGGCTCCGTCGTTAAAAGCCCACGTCCTGGCGACGTTCATCCCGACGCTAGAAGCCTGCCGGAAAGCTCCGGTGACGTTTTTGGCGGTGGACGCGTCCGCCGCCGCCATCAGCATCCAGTAGGCGTTGAAGCCGTTAAGGTACACGGGCCTCCCGTTTCTCGCAAAATGGGTTCCTTGCGTTCTCACGATCGAGCCGCTGCAGGAGGAGGAGGAGGCGGAAACGATACAGTACTTGAACATTAATCCTTGTTGGATCAGGAATAACCATAGTAGTGCTACCGCGGCTGCCATGCGGGAACAGCAAGCGTAAGGTAACCTAACTTAGCTTAGCACTTGCAGCTGTAAGATAAGATGCAATTAATCCAGTAGAAGCTACAACGATGGAGGCTGAGTGAGAGAGTGAGTTTGAGGAGTTTTATAGAGAGAGAGAGAGAGAGAGAGAACGTTAGCCTAATTAAAACACCACGCCAAGATCGTGTTTGCAGAGGACTCTCCTAGAAGGCTTATAACAATTGATGCATGCATTTAACCAAAACAATCAACTATAACCGGCAATGACCGGCGACTAAAACGCCAAGTTTCTTTCCCCCAGATTCTAAAGGAAAGTTCATTATTTCTTTCTTCTTTTTCTAATCAAGGGAAAGTTCATTGTTTCAAAAGTGGGTTAATTGCATGGTTGGTTACTCGAAATTTTTAAATCTATTGCTGGTATTTCAGTTTACTAAAACCGTTAATGTTTGGTTACTCTCCGTCCAACTCCGTTAACTTTTGCTTACGTGACGGTCAACTCTAAAAGTTCATCATTAAAAATGTGACGTGACAATTTGAAAATAATAAATTTAATAAAATTAAATTTTTTAAAATTGTCATCTCATTTCCACCTCATTATCACTTTTATTTAATCTAAATAAAAAAATCCTAATTTATTCTAATCCCCAATACCAATACCCCGTCGTCGCTGCCGCATCCATTGTTGAAACTTCTCAGTCCAAGCCGCCCAAACACCGCCGGACCTCCACCGCAGTAGTAGAAGTAGCCGTTATTATTGGTCAACGTAGTATTCTTCTTCTTCCCCGTGAGCTGATTTTTATGATCGTTGAGGTCTTGGATCGTCCGCTGCAGTTGCTTTATGGTTAGAACGATGGCGGCGGTGGAGAGTTTTTTCGATTTTTGCGGGAAGGGAGAATCGGTTGAATTGTGGAAGGGGATGGGCTGGGGAAAAGAAGAAGGGGTTGCAATTGCAAGGAGGGATTGAGCCATTGAGGTTGTTGTTGGAGTCGTTGAAATTGGCCAAATTAGCTTAAATTGAAGGGAGCGGGCCGGAGAACGCGTTGTTCTCGAGGAACAGACCGGTTAGCCGAGTCCAATTATTGTTGACGGCGAATGGAATCAGGCCGGTGAATTTTTTGGACGAGAGGTCGAGCCGCGCCAGCCGAGCTAAGGGAGTCACTCCAGCGGGGAACTCGCCGAAAAGGCGTTGTTCTGAAGGTAGAGGCTGTTGGAGATTAGAAGAAATTAGGATTTTTATTTATTTAGTGATAATGAGGTGGAAATGAGATGACTATTTTTAAAATTTAATTTATTAATTTTATTAATTTTAAATTGCCACGTCACACATTTATCGGTAAACTTTTAGAGTTGACCTCCACATAAGCAAAAGTTAACAGAGTTGAACGTAGAGTGAGTAAACTGAAGTAGCACCAATGGATTTAAATATTTCGAGTAAGCAAACTTGAACTTTAATGTAATCTCAGTTACCAACTATGCAATTAACCCTTTCAACAGGAAAAGAAAAAAAGCTCATTATATCCTGAGCGTACTGGTTGGTAACCGAAATTATTTCTGATTATGGATAACATTTGCTCTAATTTAATTTAACCTTCTATATTTCTTTCGTTTTTTTTGAAATTCAAAACATTTTGCACTGAAAACTTAAATTATTTGTGTTCTATAATACAGTACCGGAGCCACATCCATTCCAGGAGGCTCGTCCTATACACCAAACACTTTACATAGGGCCAAACAAAGGATTCAGGGGAAACCTGTAACACCCTAGTCCGCCCGGACGCTACTTTTACTAAATTACCCTTGATAAACCATGAACCAAAATAAGAATCGAGTAATTTGAAAATACAACGGTAAACCTTCATAAATATCCTTAATAATAAATACTTTAAATTCAAATAAGAATTTCTCAAAAGTTCCACAATAATAATTCTTGATAAATCACATCAGTCTCAAGCCCTACTAAGTACACGAGATTAAAATCTTCGCACTAGAGTCCTCTACAGCCAGTGATCCTTGTCACGAACTGTTGAACTTCTGCCATACTCTAGAGCTTCTACATTCCTGAATGTGGGCGATGGGTCAGTCCTAATCCTAATTTCGTTATCATACATAAATCAAGATGCACATGCAATGCTTTAAGTACATTATTGGTATATTATAGGAGTCCTTGAACTTATGATTCTTGTTTACTTCATAAGTGTCTTGCGTATTTTATCTTAACATGGGGCCCCGTCCCCCACTTAGCTAGAGCATCGCCCGACTACCTAAACGTGATAAACATGGACCTCCATCAATGTGGGAGGTGAATACGTGATAATCATGGACCTCCATCATTATGGAGGTGAGGTATCGCGCGCTAGCTAGGCGATCGTCCGTTACCTAATACGTGGACTTGAACATGGACTCCTTGTCTGAAGGAGTGGGTAGTATACATGGACTTCCTCACTTGGGAAGTGAGGTGGCCGCGTGCTTAGCTAGTAAGTGAGGTTTGAACTTTTTCTGACTTATTAACTTGATAACTTAACGTACTTGCTTGAATCAATCTCTCACACGATGAAGAGATGCACTTAAGCTTATACTTGTTTACTTAATTAGAGAAGTTTGAGCTTACTTAGGTGATCTCCCGCACAATGGGAAGATACAAGCTTATTAACTTGAACTTAATTAGCTTAACTTGAACTGCATTAGGTGATCGCCCCGTTCATCTTCTTTGTTTCCTAACTGCGCATACCCCTCTCTTAGGGATGCCGGCTACCTCCTCCTAACCTAGAACTAGAAGTGATTATATGTGGGTTGTGACAACCCTAGTCCAAATCCAAGCATTAAATGGGTTTAGCCATCACCACTCTGGCCCAATTCCTTTCGTATAGAGCTTAGGAACAACGACCAATTTAGGTTTGCATTTTCCATATCGGACCGTTAATTAAAACCTATAAATTTATTGTGATTGAACCTAAATCCAAAATTCAGGGTGTTGCATTTCCTCCCTCTTTTAAAATTTCGTCCTCGAAATTGTGTTGCTACTTATCTGGTAGTCGTCACGTCATAATAGCACCTCGTTATGAGTACCTCCATACTCGTCCTGACTTAAAAGAAAAACTCACACGTGATTAGGTCTTCACCTGAGGTGGCATTGTCACTAAGCCCATAACGACACCTTGAAGTAAGGTAACTCTGTGATTTAATTTGTCCTTGTCATGCTCTTCCTCGTTGTACTCTTTTATGAATCTTCTTGAACTCCAAGTCATTTACTCTTACTTCAATCTCAGTAGTCGATAAAATTCACATACTTGGTTAGTTCTTTGTTGGGTTATAGGTATAATATGCTCGTCTATTATGTCGTTTTATCAAACATGCCCCTATACTATTTTTACATCAACCATGCTCTTGTACTTTGGAAAAATTATCAAACATGCCCTTTTGTTAAAAACTTCATTGAAAAAATAGTCAATCATGGTTGAACCGAGATTTAGACGACCCAATATCGGCAAATGGGAGGGAAGATGTCAGTTTTGTCCCCTGTTTTATTTCTCTGGGCCTCGTCAAAGTGAAATTATTAGGATTATTTGGTTATACAAAATAACCAAAAAAATTTCTAAAGTAAAATTATTGGGGATATTTTAGACATTTGTGCGGCCCAAACCAAATTTTGGTCGTGGTTAACGGTTTATGGATGAAAATTTTAACAGAAGTGCATGTTTGATAATTTTTTCAAAGTTAGGAGCATGTTTGATGTAAAAAATAGTAGAGGGGCATGTTTGATAAACAACATAGTAGAGGGGCATATTATACCTATAACCCTTCTTTGTTTGATTCTTGACACTCAATAAAAACAAACGAAAATGGAGAGATCAATTATTTAAGAGCAAAATCAGGATTAACTGTTTAATTACTTTCCTTTCGTAAGTATATCCTTTTTTAACGATCTTTCGTAAGTATATCGGCATAACCTTCTATAAAAAAAAATATAAGCTTCAATCCTTCCCTGTTTCAAAAAATTTGTTGTTTAACGTTTTAAATAGTTTATTAATTCTTGAAAAAAATTGTTTTTTTTATAGTAACCTGCGCAGAGCTAGCATTAAACTATGGAGGCTAGTACATCATCAAGCTTTAGTTTATCAAGCAAAAAAACCAATGGCCGATCAAACCAAACTTCCGCTAAATCCCATCGAGTCTCCGAATGCGCCATAACATGCGCTGCACCAATCGCTTCGCGAGGAACATGGCGAACAAATCCTCTCTGACCTCCTTCCATTAATCTCACAATGTTACGGCAAACCACACCCAGCTCCGTCAAGTTCTCCTCTGCTTCCGCTATCGCCTTTACTATTGTTAGGCTGTCAAGTTCCAGAATCACGTCGCCAAGCTGGTGCTGTCGGGCGAGTTGTAACCCGAGCTCTGCCACCAAAGCTTCTCCCATCTCCGGTGAACAAGTTCCACGGAGTTTCTTAGCTGCCGCCAACACGAACTGCCCATGGTGGTTCCAGACAACACTCCCAGACCTGTACCTCCGTCGAAAAAACCCACATCTGTGTTCACTTTGATTCTTCCCTCCTCTGGCCTCACCCATTGCCTCACTCTCTGCGCCTGCGGCTCCCTTCCATCTTCGTTTGATGCTGCCTATATTCGTCCAGGAGAGATCGCGAGCGCTGGATGATCTCACTCTCTATCATCTTCTGACTTTGAAATAGTGGGCATTACGTTCCTTCAACAGCATCCATAGCGCCATTGCCCACTCTTCAAATTCGTCAGCCTCTACGCTCTCAGCCACCTTAGCCACCCATTCCATGCATGCCCGGTCCCCCGCATCAAAAAGAAATGGCTCACCGGAGTTCCTCGCCAAAGGCGACTCGCCCAAGAGCATTCGTAGAAGAGGTGGATCTGAGTCTCTCTCAGATTACAAAATGGACACACGTCCCCACATCTTTCACTACGAACACTGATGTGATCTCCAGTCGCCAAGGAGTCTATCGCAAACCGCCACATAAAGTGTCGGACCTTTGGGGGTACGTTCATCGACCAGATTCTTTTCCACATGGCCACCTCCCCCACTGCTCAAAGAGCTCTATCCTTGCGAAAGCTAGCTAGCCAGCTTCGATAACCATCCCTAGCTGTGTACTTGCCATCCTTACTCTCCGCCCATATCAATCGATCACATTCCGTCAATCCACGCAACGGAATCTGCCTGATTTTTTCCGCCACCTCAGTAGGGAAGCAACTCTCAATTATTGTATCATCCCACCTCTCCAGGTCCTCATCGATTAATTCCCTGACCATCGCATCAACAGGTAGTCCCATCGGGGCTGACTGTATAACATAATTTGGCGCCTCCGAATCCAACGATCGCCCCAAATCCTGACATCATTATACCACTTCCTATCCTCCATCGTAGTCCCGAAACCAGGAACTCCTGTGCACTTAGAAGACTCCGCCATAAGTAGCTCGGGCGGTGGCCTAGCCTCGCATCAAGGATAGATTCCCGCTTATGATACTTTGCTCGCAGTAATCGGGCGATCAAGGATGATGGCCTCTGATATAGGTTCCATAGCTGTCGTGCTAGCAAAGATGGGTTGAAACCCCGAAGATCCGGAAACCCATCCCACCCTCTGACTTGGGCCAATCAGCTTTTCCCGCGCAATCTAGGGGATTCCTCGTTCCTCTCCCTTCTGTCCCCACAGAAACGCATGATCATGCCATGAATATCGTCAATAATTCCATCCGAAATTCTGAACACTGACATCGCATACGTCATCTGTGCTTGAGCTACTGACTTAATGAGAGTCTCCCTTGCTGCCACCGACATAGTTCTTTCCTTCCATCCCGAGAGTTTCCTCCGAACTTTCTCTTTCAAGAAAGTAAACAATTCCCTCTTCGATCTACCCACCTGCGTTGCCAGCCCTAGTATTTATCATGTTTTTCAACAGTACGCATACCTAGATGGCACCCACTTGGAGACGCTGGTGCGGGGTGGACATTTGCTCCAAACATCACCATCCGGATCTACTTCTCTTCAAATCCCATGCGACGCATAACTTCTTCCAGAAACCACCACTCTACCCGATCATAGGCTTTTGGCCATATCTGTTTTTGCTGCAAAAAACTCAGTCTTCGCCTTTTTCTTCTTCTTCATAGAATGGAAACATTCAAAAGCTTGCCATTACATTATCAGCAATATATCTCCCCGGAACAAAAGCGCTCTGCTCCGGAGAAATAATAGAGTCCAAGAGTCCCTTCAGCCTGTTCCGCAAGGGCTTTTGCTAGCAGCTTGTACAAAACGTTGCACAAACTAATGGTCGAAAATCCTTCGCCATCTCCGGTTCCTTCACCTTGGGGATAAGTGCGATGAGAGTATGGTTGAGTCCCGGGGGCATACTCTCTGTCTCAAAAAATCTCCAAAATTAAAGACGTAACATCATCACCGATAATATGCCACTATCGCTGGAAGAAAAGAACTGAGAAGCCATCATCCCCAGGTGCCTTCCTCTTGCCCATTTGACGAAGAGCAAAGAAAAGTTCCTCCCTGGTTAAAGGCTTGGTCAGCCTCTCATTTGCCTCAATACCAACCCGCTGTGCAATGGAGTCCAAAACGGGAGTAGTAGGCGGCCGCGCGCCAGCTGTGAAGAGTTCTCGAAAATACATAGTAAGGCACATAGCAACCTGGTCACCCCCACTCCCACCATCGTCCGCTAGCGTCCTCAAGTTCCTCACCGTATTCCTTTTCCGCCTAGCTGAAGCCTTCCTGTGAAAAAAATTGGTGTTCTTGTCACCCTCTCATAGCCAGTCGGCCCTTGATCGCTGCAGCCAGTAGAGCTCCTCGTCGATCTCCAATTCATCCATCTCAAGCTGTAACTTGGCCCTTTGATCAAGAACTTGCGACGTCTTCTCCCTTCGCTCCAGAGCATTTAGCGCTCTTCTAATTCTCGCTTTCTGTCTATGGAAATTCGGGGAAAGCCGCCCTGCTCCACCCGTCCAGAGAATCTCTCACTTGAGTAAATTTCATGAGAGCATTCCCGGTATCAGAGCCCCACGCTGGAGCATTCCCGTCCAGAGAATCTCTCACTTGAAAAAAATTGTTAATACTATTTTTCGTATAAAAACTATGAACTAACACCTTTTCTTACTTATCTTTATTTTGAATATATATAAACAACCTTTGAGCGGGTAACGTAATCAAAGCAATGGTGTTTATATCTACTTTGGTGTAACACTTACATAACTACGATTTATACTTTTCAATTTCTCTTTTTTTCTTTTTGGTAGAATTTTCAATTTCTCAATTGTAAGTTGTGCTTCTTAGTTAACTGACCATTTGTCTAACCTAGTAACCATTAATAATTTCCGCTTAAAGATGAATAACTAATTTGTATCACAAGCAATTCATGACGAATTTGTGCCGGCACGATAATTTATATTAACTGTGACTGTTTTAAGTTGTCAATATTCATGATAACTGTACAGTATATGAAATATATAGTATATGTTAGTGACTGCAAAAAAAGGAGCTTTTCCGACGAAAATTTTGCGACGACGCTAAGATTCGTCGCTAAAGGTAGACTTTCAGCGACGAATTTATAACTTTCGTCGCCAAATGTGAAAACAAAGAATATGTGAGGAGAAATTGATTCAGCGACGAAACTGTGCTATAACGCGACAGATATAGTCTTCTCGGAATTTTGAACCTCTTCTGCGATGATAACCGTCGTCGCAAAAAAATATGTACTTTTCTGCGAAGGGACATTTCATCGCCAATTGTTGTTTAAGTATTGAGGTCGGGTATCACTTATCAGCCATTTTTTAATTATTTATGAACAAAATAAAAAATAAGAACGTCAGATTTAGGAAAAGTGTGAACGACGTCGTTATGCTTGAATGGAGCTAGGTTAACTCAAAACTTGTGTTGCCAATCTCTCATTTTCGCAAACTCCTCTAATTCTCCCAACCCTAACCATGGCGTCGCCGCCTCCGTGTGTTATCATCTCCACAATCTGTCTCGTCTTCTTCCTCTAATTGAAAACAATTCCTTTTTTCTAACTTTGATTCCGCGCTGTACTCCTAAAACAAATCTCTCGTCGGATCCAGAATTTGAGTCTTGGAGGCGATGCTTGAGTTTTGGAGCCAAATCTGAAGCGGGTATGTAGCAAGATGAAGGAGCTTCCATCTCCTAGATAATGGCGGGCGTGTTGGTCGGGGCGGTTGGATCCATTTGGATCCTCGACGAGGTACGAGAAAGGAAGTTCGCTTCCACACCTCTCAATTGAAGCTATACGTCGATGCGGCCACTGCCACTTCAACTCACTTCTTTCAATTGATTTCACTCTAATTGCCCTCTTTGTTGATTCGTACAAGTAGGGATTTTCATCCCAATGAACGTTATCTTAGGCGAGTTGGCCAGGATGAGTGGGATCTGTTTGAATCCCAACGAGCCATGATAATGGACCCAAAACTCACCGTTTTTACCCAAGATCATGGACGAAGAGTTATTATCACGGTCTTGCAACCGTGATAATTGACCCCCATGCGTCATCTTCCATTTCGGTCTATAAAAGGGGATCGTGACCCCTTAGTCTTCACAAACTTTCTTCGTTGAAATCCTCCAAAGCCTCCTCGAAAAATCGTGACACCCCACTTTTTATGTCAAGTTCGTCAACTTTCAGGCATCCATTTCCAAAACCAAAACTAGATACATAACCCTCGTGTCGGGGTGCCCCTTTGGCCGAAGTTTTGAAGCGATTTGGCTCATGTTTTTCTGGTGGGCGATTTTCTGGTGTGCCTCCAATGAGCATCATGCAATGCTCCGGTGAGCCTCTTTAGCCTATTTTTCAGCTTGTTTTCGACTCCCTCGACATCTCCTCTCCTTCCCTGTTGATCCTACTTGTGTCTCCAGGTGTGTAATGAACTTTTACTTTGTAAATTTTTGAGAATCAGATTAGGGTTCTTAAGTGAGGAGACTTTGTGCATTTTTGCATGAATTATGAAATTGGGCAGGGGGTTAGTCGAATTATAATGATTGAATGATCCGTGAAGTGATTGTGGAGTTAATTGAGCATAAGTGGGCAAGATTTGGTATTATTTTTGTTTAAATTGAAAAATGCCCACCAAATGCAGTTGTGATTGAATCTTTCGGTCCACTTTTATGCATGATGGTTTGTGACAATCGGGGAATGAGCTAGGTTTGAAATTGTAGCCTCAAGGAAATATGAGCCTCCTAGATTCATGCCTCGATGTGTCTTGTATGTGATTAAGGTTAATTGTGTG